TATATATATATATATTATATAGTGTAGTAGTTAGTATAAAAATGGGATAGCCTAGATAACCAATAGCCTCTTGTTAGTTACCCCCCCCAGAATGAAATGAAATTAAATTACAAATCCCTAATTTGCATAACTTTACACTTCTCAGTATTAAAACTCATTTTACACATTTTGGTACAATCACTAAAATTGTCAGGGTCCTTTTTAAATAAAAGAAACAGCTGGAATCAGCTTTTTCTAGTATCTGCAGTTTGGAAGTATAAATATTCAAGAATTTTTTTCCATATCATTATATATACAACATAGTAAAATTACAGTCCAAGTCTAGACTTACAAGTTCATCAAAATCTATGAAAACCCAGTGTATGTATCTTCACTAAATTTGGTATGGAGGTTTATTAGGGGAGCTACAAACAAATTTTCACTTTTGCATTTTACAGTTTTTATGAGCATTTTTTACCACTACTTTGCCTCCTCTTGATGGATAGTCACCAAATTTGGCATGAAGGTTTGTTGGGCCCATACAAATTTGAGGTTTCACATTTTGTGTTTTGCAGTTTTTATGGACATCCTTTACAGTTACATATAAGGGAAACAACTTTTTATGATAAGCTTTCATTAATCAAGAACTTACATAACTTCCATCCAGGGGACAGGTACTACAGCTAGTAATGAATAACAAATACGTCATTCAAATTATTAGCATAAGTAATGAATAACAAAGACTCTTTGAGAGTTTAAAGTACACACAATCAACCATTAAAATTTCCATTTTTTATCTCTCTGCTTTCTACCATTAAGCCAATTTTCAAACCATTTTTTGACTTTTCCACCAAATGCATAACGATCCAAATTTAATCATCAATTTTTTTTAAATTTTCCTTATCAAAGGCTTTCTGAAGGTCAGGATAAAGAACATCATTTGGGATATTGTCATTCATAGAAAGCTGAGAATCAAATGACAGATTTAAGAATACAAATTACCTATTATGTCAAAAAAAAGGAACATTATTCTTATAAGAGATGTCAAGGTGTTGAATTTTGTAGAGTGTTTCAATTGAAATGACAGAGAGAAAAAGTACTTGTTTTTAACATTTCCTACAAGCCTTGTGTTCAAGGTGATTAAGAGATACATGTAGGATATTTTCAAACAGATAAAAAGTTATACCTCTTACAGACACAAGTATAATATTATAGGAAACTTTGATTTTAGGGTAATTAACTGTGGAAACTTGGGTCACATGACAAGAGATAATTTGATTTAATTTTGATGCCTTACTGCTTTTATTTATTTCAATGTTTTTATTTTATTTTTGAAAATGGCAGTAGTTCACTCAGCTAAACTGGGTCACCCATATTCCTAAATAAGGAAAAGCAAAAACCAATGAAAACTTACCTTTCACAAAATACTATACGGTGTTGCTAGGAAAAACTAAAACTAGAGAATCAATAAGACAGTATAAAGCCAGAAGGTCATTGGTTAGAATCAGTAAGATAGTATAAAGCCAGAAGATCATTGGTTAGAATAAATAAGACAGTATAAAGCCAGAAGTTCATTGGTTAGAATCAATAAGACAGTATAAAGGCAGAAGGTCATTGGTTAGAATCAGTAAGACAGCCTGTCCACACAAGGTTTTCATCTAGTACTCAAGTAAACTCAACAACTGATGTTGAAGTGGACTTTCTTTTTTATTATTGTTTTCAGTATTCAGGAGGGTGTGGGTAGTAATGTTGTGATATAGAAAATTTTGGGGGGTATTTAGATGATTTTATGTATTAACTTGGAAACTAGATACAGTATGAACTTTATAAGAAAGTATAGGAAATGGGGTAATTTTATGTCTTTTTACAATATGTTAGGGATTTTACTGTAGATATACTGCTCATGTGAAGGACAAAGAGACTTTAGTATCATGAGTATTAGTTACATGTTTTGAAAGGTCAGACCTATACTTGAACTGAGACAAAACATTGTTACTGTTAACATTTAAATTTATAAAGTAATGTGTATGATTATATTGGGGTTGCTATTAGTTTGAATATATTCAAACTTTTTGGGTAATAAGTGTATGTGAAAGGCCATGTTTGGTGTGAACTGGTGATCCTGATCTTTGACTTCCTTGTGTGTTTTTATTAATATGTTTTAGTCTAATGTAAAGGTTATATGTTTAAAATATTATTCTTGGTTTCAGGAGGTAAGACTGGCGTATTTGATGTTGAAGAGCTTGTGGATCTGTTGGCGGAAGAGAATATGAAAGATATTGCTGTCATAGAAATTCCAAAATCTGTCTGCTATGCAGATTATTTGGTCTTGGCAACAGCAAAATCACCACGTCACTCTCGTGCTGTTGCACAATTCATTCGTAAGCTAGTAAGTATATATCATGATATGAACCCACTCAGTTAATGAGTGTCACCCTTTAGTTCCAAGTAAAGGAAGTCAAAAAACAACTAATCTCAATGTTGCCTTTCACATATTTGTATCTATTAGCCAAATTATCCATTGTACCAACATATCAGGGATTTTAACAAATAACAAGTTTCTTCAACTGTTTTTCAGTCTGTACTAGTTGACTTTGATAATGAAGCAAAAATTGCAAGCCTTATTAGTCCAAACTCATGAAAACTTGCAACATGTTAAATGTCAGCATCTAAATCACTTATAATTTTGAGCACCTGAAGGAAAAAAAAAACATTTTCCTAACTTAGAATTCTTAAACCATGATTATATTTGCTTTTCTTATTTATTCTTCAGGATTTTCAATAATTTTGCTTCTGGGAGGCTTTAAAACCATTTGAAGAGATGTAAAGTGTGCTGAAGGTGCAAAGCCCTTCTACAAGTCTTGGAGCATGCTCCCTCTGAAAAATGTTTTAAATTTAGATGTGAAATCCTACTTACTGAACACTTTTGGAGTCTTTTTGGGCTGGATATTTCTGTCCCCAAATATCACTTTTTTCTATATACCATTTATTGGTTATTGATTTTGATGCATTCTGAAAGTTTTATTAGAAATAAAAACTAATTTTGTATAATGCAACGTTGTTTTAAGAAAACTCAAATTCATGGTCAGAAAGCAACAAGTCATAAAGAAATAACATTCAGTTTTTGTAAGCTTACGTTATTTTACTTGGTAACTGGAATAATTAAAAAGGTAAGCATGACTTTCAGGGACATATAAAAGTATTCCTTATGACAAGAAGTATTACATATGCTAATATTATCATGCCTTCTTTTACAGAAATGCTGCAGAGACTGGCTGAACAAAAGTTGCTTAATAAAGAAATACTTTAAATACCTTATAACATCAAAGAAAAAGATGATAGATTTCAACATGTGTATAAAATGTTTTTAAAGTAGCAATTATTACCTTTAAAACATGAAGTGCTATGAATAAGGATATCTGAATAGTAATAAGAAATGCTTTTTATAAAATACGATACTTCAAGCATTTTCGGGTGGTTGCCAGAATTTGCATCAGAAATTTATGCATTGCACGCTATAGTGCATGGGAGGATTAAATTTGATATTCTGATTTGAGTCTCATAATGCAGTTGTATTTTGTTATACGAAAAATAGACTCCAATCATGTACATTATAAGCTCAACTGCCCTTGGAATGCATGAAAAAATGAAACGGTGGGAAAGATACAAACTGTTTTTCATTAACAACAGTCAGAAGAAGTCTGTGACAGACTGTTAAATCTTTTCATCTTAATTTTTTCTCCTTTTTGGTTTCAGATCCATGCTTTAACTTGACCATGATAAGACAAAACCTTTTGAGAAAAAGATGTTTTCCCGAACAAGATCCCCTTTCACTGATCAATAAAATTCTGAGTCATAGATCTAAATAAAAATCATGCCAAATTTGCATCAATTTGGACATGTAAATGTAATTACCTGAATCTTTAATACAGAATTTCTGTTGTTAATTGACAGCTGCATGAGAAACTGTTTGAGATTACATTTGTCCATATTGTGCTTCTCCATTAAAGATAAATTATATAATAGAAAGTCTTGAACAGAAATACCTGAACTATTCTGAAAATTATAAATAGAGAAAGGTCATGAAGCCTGCACATTTTGTTTCAACTTGCTATTCTAGAAAAATTGTGGCAGGGCCAAAACTAAAACACACATACCACATGAAATTGTTACTGTATTTAGAATAGGAATTTCCATTTTGAGTTGAAAACTTCTGATAATCACATGTATCTTTTACAAAAGTTCTTATTTTCAACCAACACACACATGTACAAAGGGTTAGGATTGTTGGTGAAATATTTCTGAAAGGGTAGGGAACGTTTGTCTTTTTTTACACTTATTTTTCCCACAAATCACACTTATGCTTACATTGATATGACTTGAAGTTTAAAGTAGAGCTATAATGATAATAAACAAAGACATAGATTAATAATTTTAAGTTTTGTTTTGATTATTATAATCATGATGAAACAAACACTTCCAGCATGGCAGTGGTTCAACATGTTTTGAGCAAATAAACTAAGGAGTTAAAATTTATGATAAAAGTCACATTTAATGCAGATTATATATTTGTGTGTAGAATTTCAGAGAATCTTTTGTTCATCATTGTCCATTTCAATTGATGAGTTGTGGTATTGAATGGAAGGCCACCTGGGCAGTGGCTTGTGGAAGACAGGAGATATGTTTCAAATACTATTTCTTATACTTCTGATTTTGAATTTGCAATGGGTAAATTAAGAAGAATGTGGGAAAAAAACATTTGCAGTTGCCATGATTTTTGTCACAAATTTTAGGCCTTTTGGTTTCTAATGCTTCACCAGCTTTTGCCATTTAAAGTGTTCTCTAGAGCTGTTTGACCAAATGTCAAACTTAGTTTATTTTTCTTTTACTTAACTGTATTTGCTAGTTCAAATGTATGTTGTCAATGCATGAGCCATAATATTTTCCATTGACTTGTTATGGTTGTTAGACAGTGTATATTCTGACAGTTAATTTTGTGGTATGTTTCAGCACAAGAGAAAAAAAATCAAAGATGATCCGTACCTAAATATTGAGGGCTTAGAGAATCGTGACTGGAAAGCTATAGACATGGGTTTGTAGATTTATTTTATCAGTAACAAACTATTGTCTTACAAGAAATATTTAGTGTTTTGTTCACACCTTTATGTACAAAGTATTGATGATTACGAATTGTGTCTGGGATTGAACCGTGTGCTTATTTACTGTATCTTTTTGTATTTCAGGTAAATTAGATGTATTTCGGTATCTTAAACAATAATAGCCTACTATGATTATAATAAGGATCCACAGTTAAGTTACTTTGTGTCCCAGTCATAGCTACATTGGTTTATTTGGGGTGTATAGATATTGGTACTTCATGCTCAATAGAATTCTTTTTCAATAATACATGCATCTGTAAATGTTATTGTTAAAAATGTTCATGTTTTCAATATATTTAATGTTTTAAATAATCTTTTTCAAAACATTGTTTGTTAATTTCAAGTTTTATTTTTTTATGTAATGCACAGGAAACCTAGTTTTGCACATATTTCTACCTCAAGCCCGAAACCATTATGACATCGAGACTTTGTGGACAGTGGGACAAGAGTATGACAACCAGATTCATCAGAAAGAGGAAGATCCTGTGCTAGACCTTTTAGAACAACACAGGCTATTTTTGCAAAAGATTAAACCATTGCATACGGAAGAAAAGATCTCAGAGCCAGTGAGAAACTGATTTCGCTTTGTTCATAAATAGGTTTTGGAGTCGATGAAAAATTAATGTTTGTTTGGGTGAGGCATGAATTGTATACTTCTTTTTTTTATGTAACTTACAATAATTTTCAAAAAATTAGAAATGGTCTTCCTACATTAACAAAATTATATTGGAAATTTTGGAGACCCATTGTGTTTTTTTCCCCTTTCCCTAGCACGAAGTTGGTACTTATTTTATAATATGGATGTTTAAATACCCTGTATGAGACAATTAAATGTAAATTCTCTTTGTTTACTGTCAGTTTAAAGAAATTTAAGGACTATTTTTTTTATATGTGATAGTTGAGAGTAACAATAAGTATGCTGTCCATTTGTCTCATTTATCAACAAAGATTGTGATTTATGTATATTTCACATACATTGAACACAGAATAAAAATATTCAAGTAAATGTGTAACATATTTGGTGAAGTTAAATGGAAACAAAACCAAGTAACTATGTACCTGTTATTTCTTTTTATTTAATAGCTTAATTTTGATCACTGTGTTAAAAGTTTGCATACCTTAATATTCAAAGCTTTTCTTGTCCAGATTATCGAAGTAAACATGGTTCTAAGTATCGTATAGTGAATTTTGTTTCACCTACCATGTGAAATTGGCAGAAACTATATTCCATAGTTGTGTAACTGTCAACCAGTGAGAGCTTTTAATTAAACTGTTTATACTGTTAGCAGTAATGTCTCCAAATATATTATTTTGTTAAGTCTTACAAACCATACAGTTCATTTATATTTTAAGTGCCCATACTATTTATCATTACTACAGAAAATACAAGTTTTATATGACACTAACTTAAAAAGTTACTAGTACAAACTAAAAAAAATATTTTTATGATGAACAATATCATCAACTTGTTTAACAATACAATACAAGTCATTTCTACAGTACCATCCAATAAATATTTTGTGCTCCCTTCGTCCTGGGATTTTTTTTTTAATGATATGTCAAAATTTTTGTAAGACAATTTCACTACTGATTGTTAATGTATCAGGAGTTTATTGCGCAACAGTGTTACACGTTGCTGAGGTATAGACTCGGATACCATCAGTTACACAACCCTTATGAACCAATACAGGAGCCATTAAATAAAAAATGATATTAAGACGGTAGCTTTCCACAACAATTTAATGACCTGCCGTGTATTAATTGTGCAACATTAAATACTGGTGAGGTATAGATACTAATATGAATAAATTCAAGAGCAGTCAAATTAATATTAAAACAGCAGTTCTTGACAGGTATACGAACGTTATAATTTATCCATTACGAAGGACTTAAAATAATACATGTATTGGAATAATCTTAATACTGCAATAGGAAGTCAAAGAACACTAACTTACATATTTCTTTGTTGACAAAAGTAAAGAACTTGGTTGTAGGCATACTAACTCTACTAACAAACAGTATTATCTAATGTTTTGAGTAAACAATAAAACCATTACTTATATAGCCACTGGTTGCAAGAGCTTTATTGAAAGGAAAACACAAAGTGGAGATATTTTTCAACACAAGCTTTTGTGATGAAATATTTATAATGAATAGTGTACAAAGATGAATTGACAAATAGCATATTTTCTTAATATTTTGTGTGTCAAGAATGTTTATACACCAATTTCCTACTTTTGTAATTTTTGTACAGAAAAAATAATATATTGTACAACAATAACATAAACATAATAAAAACTTGGCAAGATATTAAAGATGCAACAGGAGTGTAACACCAGTAATGTATTATTATTTTTAAGCAACAAAAAGGTACATTTGTAATATACATAATGTTTCATGAAATATGTAATGTACATATTCATGTGTTTTTTGTGTACATTTTTTCTGAATTTTGTGCCCATTTTTGTGAAATACACTGTTCTGTATACACAACAATCCAAAACTATTATAAATAGCATAAATCTCTAAGAAACATTACTCAATATTCAAACTGTGCCAAAGTTACCACTTAAAAATGAAATGTAAAGCCCAATGTATACTAAACCTTCTAGCATACACATAAAACAATGTTTCTAGAAAATTTCTTACCACTTGTGGCAGCCATTTTAAGTCAAGGAGGATGTTTTTGTCGCATGACCTGATTGGTTGGAGGTAAGAAAGTTCCTGGAACATGTTACCAGTTTTTGAGCACTACTCAAAACTCAATCAGCTGCCAGAAAATTTCCAACGTATATACATTAGGCCTAAAAATGTATTCAACTGAATTTCTGATACCTTATCTGCTAGACACTGGTGTAAGAATTAATACATGAAAAGACAGATAACATCTGGCTATGTTTGAACTATTGTCTTAAATATTTAGCATAAGGTTATTCTACATCATGAAAACTGATAAGATAAACAATATACTTGTATAATGATGAAATATATGGTCAAACAAATTTTAGAGAGAAATGACTGAGAAATTTGTACCAAAGAATAATTCAGCTTGTCCCTGTGGTAGAGCTCTGGATTTTAGAGCTAGCAGACTAGGTTCAAATCTGTGCAATACCAGAAATATTCCTTGCATTTTAAGGTGTGAATGCTTTAACAGAGTGATAGTCAATTCCATAACATAAATGGTAAGGTGCTGCTGACTGGCTGCCTTCCCTCTGGTCAGTAGTTCAAAATTATGGACAGCAGCAGATAGCTTTGCCATAAATATATGAAAAAATATAGAATACTTTTAGGTTTCCTGTATTTATTTCATGTTTTATCAGCTCTACTTTCATAAAATATAAACATTTTCACATGATATTAAACTTACCAAGAAAAAAGTACTTGTTAAAATAACTTGTTACATACTAATTTCAAACACACGTACAGAACATTCAACAAGCACAGTGAAGACGATCTTTTGTCTTAATTACATACTAATTTCTAACCCAGGTACAGAACATTCAACAAGCACAGTGAAGACGATCTTTTGTCTTTATTACATACTAATTTCA